TTCTGGGCACTGTAGTTTGTTAAGGATTGCTGGGAATTGTACCTCTGTGAGAAATAAACTACAGTACCCAGAATCCTCTGAGAGAAAGAACATGTTTCAAATATGCTGTACACAGCTATGTCTCTTCATGTTCATAGTAGCTGCATACTTCCCAGTATAAAGAGCTCATCCAAAACTTTAAAAAAGGAGGAAGGCTGCCTTCTTTCCCTGTCCTGTCAAACTTTTGCTTTCATCTTTTGTTTAAATTTTCTTTTCTGCTGCATACCTCCCATACTGCAAAGCCAGAACTATAGAGCTCATCCAGCTCCACTGAACTGTGTCCCCACCCCTTTGAAAGGTGCAAACCATAGCCTGACGATTCCTCCGCAGCAAAAGGGATGGGATGTTGCAACACTGGATAGAACCTGAAATGTGTATAGCACTATACATCGAATCCATGGAGTGTTGTGTTTTTTTTATTGTCTAAAATGGTTCTTTCACCTGCTTCCATTTCCTCTCTGCCCTACCCACAGAACACAAAAGCTTCTGGACCGAATGGAGGCAATGGCGCTGTACGATTTGCTTGAGAGGCACCTGCTCAAACAAACAAGGATGAATCTAAGCAAAACATTGTCAGTGCGTGACACCATGAACTTCCCTGCAGGAAAGACTTGAGGACAGACTGGAAAGGAATTTGACCTCTGCCTTTATTGAAAAGGGGGGTGGGATGTGTGTCCTTGAACAACAACAACAACAACAATTAGCTAATGAATTGTAATTTAAAAGCCATGAAATCAGACAGTTTTGCTTGTGCTTTTGGTATCAAGTCACATTCATTCTTGGAGGACCACTGGAACATGATAGGTACTACCATTGTTGGTCTTCTAGAACCAACACATTGACAACCTGGTGGGAGGACCACAGCTCAGTAGCAGAGCACCTGTCAATGTCAACAATACTCAACTAGATGAACTAATGATCTAGCTCAGTTTAGGACAGTTTCTGATGTTCTAGAACTGCAGCCATGCTGGGAGTTTGGTGCATCCTCCAACCTCAGCGCAATAGGAAAAATGAAGTTTCTCTTGCCGAGCTTGACTTTGCAGGGAGACGAGGGATAGACATTCCTACTGTCCCACTGGCTCATCTAAACCTAGCAGCTGGTGCTTTCTAAGACTGGTTAACATCTATTAGTCTTTCCCATGACCAGCTTTGCACATTCTGAGATGGTCTGCTCTTTTGCAACATTGGAAAAGCTGGCTTGAATGTGCTGATATCCAAAGCAAGTGACAAAGAGCAGGCACTCAAGACTGGGGAGTTGCACTGCCACTGCTGTTTTGGGAACCCCCAGAAGCCACCCCCACCCACCCCCATTTCTAGCAATAGTATGTTTAGTGTTGATCAACCAATTAGTCATTTTATTTGTATGCCGCCTTAAAACCATTCTCAAGGCGGCTTACAACCATGTAAAAAAAATACATAATTACAAACTTAACAAAAGTAGTTATGAACAATAAATAAAACATCAAAAAGTACACATTGAACCATTTCAACATAAATCGTAAGAATATCCAAAATAAAGATACAAGAAATTAATATCAATTACAGGAAACAACCTCACCTAAACAATACCACATGCCACAAGTAAGTTCAGCAGCCTCAGTTTTTGTAGTTGGAGTCAATCAGGGCCCTGCCTTCCCAGACCAGGTGGGGAAAGGCCTCTACAGCCTAGTTGGCTCTAGTCTTCCTCTCTGGTTTCATTACCAGAAGTAGCTCCATTCATCAGACTGGATAGAGGCAGAGCCAGGACAGGTTCATAGTCCTTCTCTCACACGTGCCTACTTTCTCTATCCATTTCCTGCAGACTATGCGCAATTTTACAGAAGTTTGATAGTGTGGAGAAAGTAGATAGTTTTTTTTTAATAAAAAAAAATCCCTCTCATAATACTTGAACTTGGGGCCATCCATTGAAGCTGAATCTTAGAAGGCAAAAGGAAATACTTCTTCACATATCACATCGTTTAAACTATGGAATTTGCTATGATGGCTTTAGAAGATGCTTGGACTAATTTGTAGAGGATAAGACTAGATGGCTACTAGGCATGTTAGCTACATCCCCTCTAAGTTCAAAGGCAGCATGCCTTTGAATAACAGGTGCTGGGGAACATGAGCAGGAAAGGGCTATTGCACTTGAGTCCAGCTTGTGGGCTTCTAATGTGATGAACCAGGATTGGGGCTCCTCCTATTTGGGCTGTGGATTTGAAGTGGGAGAGGAAATTTCCCCTAGGGACAGCCTCCAGAAGTCCACAGTAAACCAGAGGCACCTGCAGAAGAGAAGTCTCTTGTGCCAGTACCTCTCTGGGTTGAGGACACCAGGGGGGCCCTCCTCTGACGCTGAGACACCTTAATGGCTCCCACTTTCCATCAGGATCAATGCCTACTAAAGCAGGCTGGGCCCCTTTAATGAAGAGGCTTTGCTCGCGGAATGTGGTACTAGCTACACAGATAGAGCTGCAGCTCCTGTTTAAGGCTCAGGATTGAGTGCCTCTAGAATATCACTGCTCTTATGGAGTCTCCAGCTTCAATCCCAAACGGAGCTGTCCATGGTGCCCTTCTTGCCTTGCCCCATTTAGCTTTGCCTTATTTCATTTCAGGTGCTGCTGAGGTTGTCACTCAAAACAAAACATTGGTTGGCACACTTTGGGAGACAGGATGCCACGCTCCAAATTAGTGTTCCACAGCTACTGTGACATCGATGTAGGCATGAGTCACTCTTTGATCCAGTTATTGAGTTGTAGGTGAATTTGGTATGAGTGTTTACTTTTTTAAAAGCTACCAGGAAGTCTCAGACAAGCCCACTTGGCTGGATTACAAATTATGCACACCGTTTGACAGCAGCCTAACTCTGCCCATTGGAAATTCTGAAATTCCCTCAACAAAAGACGGGAAAAGCTAGAAGGACTTCGTAACCACACACAACTTTTTGTCTGTTGTTTCTCTCCACTTATCTCTTTCTCCTTAGGAAACATCTGTACTGGCTTTTTCTCTCTCCATATGGAGCTAATGGCAACCCGGGTGTGTTTATATGCCTGTGAGTGTAAGAGAGAGAGAGAGATTCATTGGTAAAAGGGTTTGAGAGGAAACACCCAGAATGGCACTACTTCATATCTGAAGCAGCTACGTAGAGCTGCTAATTAGTTTTCTTTAAAAGGAACAACAAAAAGCAAAACCCGCCCATGGGAAATAACAATGATACATTCCCCATGTCACACCAGCGAGAAGTAGGTCACAACGCTTTTTTTAAAAAGCACATAAATCAAGCCACTCCTTATAGCAAATAAAAGTGAAATGTAAACCTGGGTAATGTTAGCGCCCTTGAAAGCGCCTTCCAGGGTACCTATGAATGAAGTCTAGAAACCATGATTCTCACAGTGGATCCACATCTGTACATACATAAGCCACTCTTCCGTCACAGTCTGCCGAATGTGTGAACAGGACACCACTGAAAAGTATTGAGTGATGCCATGTGTTATGGAAGCTCTGGGTTGTGTTCAACTAAATAAATGCATGAGTGGAATGACTTCAGTTTGTACAATGGGACTTTCTCTCCCTCGCTTCCCACTACACAATCCCCACTGCACACGCCCCTGTGGTGTTTTGACCTGCCATAGCTGTTGTGTAGCTGCTAGTCATCACTTGAAATAGCGGTGACGTTGTGTGAACTCACCCCTCGACTCTTTCTGCTTAGTCCCACCCACCACTGAAAATCCACAGCGCTACCTAAGGATGAGCAATTCAAATGATAAATTGCTTGTTCTCCTAACTGCCAGAAGAGGGTGCATGTGATCTGTGTGCTCATCAACTAGATGCACAACTGCCAGGCCTCCCTCTCTGGCTGCCTAGGCAAAAGCAAGGGCAGGTTTTGAAGAAGAAGGAGGGGGAGTCCTGGGAGGAAATAAGACCATCTGACAAAACTACTCTTGAAATCTAAGGAAGTCCATTTGCTAAGGAGTAGCAATGAAATATTTTTATTAATCTTAGTGTGACAACAATATCAAAAGTAGAAAACAGGACAGAAGGTACAAAAATAAAATGAAACCAAAATTAACATATTCCATCATGTGATTGAAATCTTCACAACATGAAGACTGCTGCTAGATGATGGGGGTCAGCAACAATAGAGCAATAACAGATGAAGAGCAGCTATTGCTAATGACTGGAGCAGGAGACCTAAGTTAATTCTACTCCATCTCAGCTGGCAGGGTCTGTCTCACCTATAGTGTGCCCAGAATTAAATGCAATAGGAGCACATGGTGTGCAGGACGAGAATCCTTCAGTGTTAGCAACGTGCTAACAGCTTGGATTTGCCTGGGTGGAACAAGGATTTTCATGATGCTTGAACCACCCAAGATGCCCTTGGCTTATCACAAAGGCTATGCCTTATTAAATTACCATGAGTGTTGAAGTAAGAGGTGGAACGACATTGAATCGGTTCAGTGAGCCCTTCCAAACAAGCACACCACAGCCCATATCCCCTTGGATGCAATACTGGCACCAGAGGCAGCTACAATGTTGAGTTTGGGTGTGAGCTCAGATCCCTGCTCAGCTGTCAAGCTCATTGGTTGGTCTTGAGAAATGTTGTCACCTCTCAATCTACCCTGACCTCACAGGGAAACTTTAATACAACTCTGAGCTCCTTGGAAGTGCTCCTTGAAGGGCAGGATATGCATGTAACAATTAAATAAACACACTGATTGTCTTCAGCAGGATATTTAGACCCCGTCTCTAGTCTAGGTGACCTTCCTTGCTCCTCTGAACCACACTTTAGCAATACCATCATACATGACAAGGGAGGGATTGTACAAATACCATTTCCTGTAGTTCTGTTTCCTTCGTGGATCTCCCATCGACCTGAATCCTGCAATTCTTTGCGGGTGTGCCAAAGGGATAACTTTTTTCATCATGTGGTTCCCAGGGGAGGGGTGCAGAGTAGGCCTCTAGGGAAGTCCATTCATCATGTCCATTCATTCTAGTAGTAGTAGCCAGGGGAGAACAGCCCCCAACAGAGCAACAGTGGAGACCAGGAGGATTGCCAAGACAATGGGTGATTGGAAGCAGCCCATTATTAGGGACCTCTGAGACGTCACTGACCCCGCAGCTTCCACATCGTGGTTTAGAGCGGCGACACCAATGTTCTCTTCGATCAGCGGCATCCCACACTGAGTGATAACAAAGACGTGAGACTGTCGCTCCAAGCCACCAGGGTGCACCATCGAGTCCATGCTAGGGCAGCCACACACATTCTGGTGGCTGTCGTAGCCACGCAGGGACATCAGGAAGTGGCCAGGCACCACTAAAGTGTTTGCCGGCCCCAAGGACAGCAACGAAGGTGAGAGAGGCAGCTCCAAAGGTGGAGGGTTTGAGGAGATCTTGGAAGGCAAGCAGGCTCTCTTCCTGCAGAGGAAGGTCACAAAGCGACAGACGGGGCAGGTGAGGCAGTTCTGTAGCCGGCCCTCATCCCGCGACGCCAAAAGGCACTTGACCAGACAGTCATGGCAAAAAGCGTGCCCACAGCTCAGCACCCGGCGCGACACTTTCGGAGACTGAAATGACTCATAACAGACGGGGCACTCCACCGAAGGGGCAGCAGCAGGAATCTCCTTACTGGTTTTGGTCACAGACATCCTTTCCCACTTGCTCACATGCAGCCACCAGCTGGATGAAAAGCAGGACACAAATACTTTTAAGAACTCCAGAAGAAGATGAGGTGAGAAGGGGAAGAAAGTGTGGGTTGTATATACATGTGGAGATGGCCCCTTTCAGTCCCTCTGCAGATACATAAATTAGCCCACGTAGATTTAGACTGGTGGCAGAATTAATAACCTCAGTATGGAAACACCAAGGAACAAGCCCCCAAAGGATAATAAAAATAATAATTAATAGTGGGCTGGTTGTTGTTTTTTTAAGCACTTTTTGAACAGCCTTTCAAACATTTTCCCACAAGCAAGGGGACCAGAAATTAGCGTTAAAGAGAGATTGTAGAGATTCTTGCCATTTAGGCTGGGGAAAAGAAACTTTAAAATTGCAAAAGCTAGATGTGAATACGCTGCAACCCATCCTATCCCACATTCAAGGCTAAGGTTAAGTAATCCAAGAACATAAGAGCACAATGCAGCTAGAAACAGAAGCAAAACAAAAAAAGTCAACCCTTCTCCTAATTTACTTTTTGTTTGTTTGTAAACATTTCTGTGCCATCAACACACGGTAAGAAAAAATGTCTTGGTGGCAAGCGGAATAAAATCAACAATAAAACCACATTCATAATAGCACAAACAAAACCACATGGATATGCTACACAGATACATACAGGTCAAAAGATCTGCAGAGGTGTCCCATCCATGGAGATCATTTGAAGCACACCATCTTTTCCGTAGATCCCGGAGTTTTCCCACCAGCATCCTGCCACTTTCCTCCCGAGCACCATACCTCCCTTCCTCAAAACCAGCAAGGAGCTACCTCTCCAGACATTTGGTGTTGGTGCCTCCGACCTTCCCAAGCTCACGATGAACAAGCCCTAGCTATAGAACAATGGGTGTTTGCTGGGTGGTTCGCTCTGTATCCATGCCTTTGCCTTGCGTCAGATCTTTAAGCAGGCAGGTAGGCAGGAGGGCGGTTCCCCGAGGAGTGAATGTGGAGGAACTCGTTTGTGAATCGGAGGTTTCTCTTTCCCGATTTGGGACTTGGGGAGGAGTCACACAACTCAGCGTCTGAATCATGGCATCTCAAAGACGCCAGGAGAACCTCTTTCTGTGCCAGGCTGTGACATGCATGGACATCATGTGGTCTTCCTAGTGAATGAGATACTGAAACTGAGATGCAGATCTGTTGGGCTTGTTAAACTTTTCACCTTGCCTCTAATTTACTTGAGAGAGGATCTGCCATTACGATGTACAAAAAGGAGAAATACCAAACTGCCCTCAAAGAACCTCAAAGGCAATTATATTACAAGAGCGCCCACAGAGGTTGTTGTCGTCATTGTTTATTGAATTTGTTAGTTGCTTTATGTTATCTTGCTCAGGGCAACCCAAAGCGACTTACAAACAGGCAGAACACCTCCTTCCTCTCCCACCTGCATAGATGCATTAAAATCAAGAGGAAAGAGGGAAGTCTGTATAGAAATATTGTATGATGAGAAAGCATGTGTAAAAAGAAAAATGGAAAATGCATAAACAAAAATTTAAAAAAATCAAGAGGAAAAATAAATATATTAAAAACATCCCATCAATTTTTAAAAGGCCGCAGAGAGTTAAAGGTCAAAGGCTTGGTCACAGAGGAAATTTTTTGCCTGTCCCCTAAAGATATGTAACAAGGGCACCAGGCAAGCCTCCCTGGGGAGAGCATTCCACAAATGGGAGCCACCACAGAAAAGGCCCGTTCTTGTGTTGCCATACTTCCTGTGGATAAGGCACAAAGAAGGGCCTCAGATGATGATTGCAGGGTCTGGGTTGGTTCATATGGGGACAGGCGGTCTTTATAGATCAAAAACAGCATTTTGAATTTGGCCAAGAAACTAATTGGCAGCCAGTGAAGTCCAGGATTGGCACTATATGCACAAACTGTCTTGCTCTGGTGAGTTTGCACTGTTGTGTTCTGCACTAGCTGAAGTTCAGAGGCAGCCCCACACTTAACATGTTGCAGTAATTAACCTAGAGTTAGATGCTATCAGAGCATAGACAACAGAAGTTAGGCTATCCCAGTCCAATTTGCATCTATGACCTTCCCTGATTTGTACGGGAAACCCCTGCTCCACCATCCTGGACATGTAAATTGTGCTCCTTCAGCCCATCAAACAGCTGTTGATCCTCCCTTCCCCCTGCATGTCCTTCCCAACAGTGTGTGAATGCATGTGTGTGGGTTTGAATGTGTGCATTAATGGCTCCTCCCACTGATAGCTCCAGCCACACCTGTGGCACGTGGGCCCCAATTATCCATCCACTGCCACGTGGCATTTGAGGGCAAAAAAGTTTCCTAGACTGGACTAGAACATACCTACCTGGCTAACACCAATCACAAATAAGACCAGTATTAAGAGTGCACCATTTTGGTTACCAGTTCATTTCACAGATCAGTTCAAGGTGATAGGTTTTACTTGCATGTTTTCTCAGAAGGAAGTCACTCAAGCATTAAATGGCAGTAATTGTGCAAACGAATGCAGTTATAACCCTGTAATTGGCCAGTTCTGTGACTACCTCAAGCACTGCCTCCTCCCACGTAGACCCCACCACACCCTTGGCATTTGGTGAGGATCTGCTCTGCATATCAACTCCCCCCACCCCCAAAAAAAGTTTAGGTTGATAATATTTTCTAAGGATAAGGCTAATTCCAACACTGTTATCCCAGGCAAATGAAGAGGATAGTAATCAAGGTTAAATTAAATTGCAACTAGGCTGGCAAACCAATGTGCATTCTCCATTAAAAACATTTATAGAGCGGGTTCTGGTGTGCTCTAATTGCCACCTTGCAATCCATTCTTACAAGAACACAGGAAGGTAGCTCAGCAAAGTGTTCCTATATTGCAGAGGAGAGGTTTTTCGTAGGCCACAAACTATGCCGATGGTAGGCTAATAATTGAATGGGCGATCACGTAGTTGGCGAAGAACCAAACTGGGGACTTCCTGGTTCACATCGCAGAATGCCAGCTATACCTGGTCTGTTCTGCCTCTGAGAGATGTAGGTTAAGGCATATATTTTGACACGAAGAATAGCTGAGCTCTTCCTGATAGGATTGCAACAACAGCAGGACTTCTGAAGAGATGACTCAGAAAGAGAAAACTATTTAATTATTTAGAGCAGGGGCAGTCAACCTTTTTGTACCTACCACCCACTAATGCATGTTTCTTCCTGGTAAAATTTCCTTACTGCCCACCAGTGCTCGATGGAAGGAGGATTCAGCTTGTGCTGTGGAACCCCTGACTGCCCACCTAGAATCCTGAAACGCCCACTAGTGGGTGGTAGGGACCAGGGTGACAACCCCTGATTTAGAGCAATTCAATTTTTAATCCTGTGTTTCAACCAAAGAAGCTCCTGGATTATGATGACTTCATATATTCCACTTGTCCCTAATGTTCAGAGATAGTTTATCCACTTTTCTGTTGCTTGTCTCTGGTGAACCGAACTCCTGGGTGGAATTCAATGTGGCACTATGATAAACTTCCTGTCTGGGCTGGATGATCCCAAACCCTCCAAGTGTCCCTATTTCCCAGGGATGTCCTTGATTTAGAGAAGCCATCCCGGTTTCTGATTTGCTCCCAGAATGTCCCGCTTTTCCTTAATATGTCCCTATTTCCATTGGAGAAATGTTAGAGGTTAAGGAGTTATCCAACCCCCAAGCCATATGAAGGCAATAATAGGGAAGTTTTTTTAAAAAAAAATGTTTAATGTTTATTATGTTTTTATATATGTTGGAAGTCTCCCAGAGTGGCTGGGGCAACCCAGTAAGATGTGTATATAAATAGTATGAAGATGTGGGTAGTATGAAGATACAGACTCTGCTAACCCATAAATAGTACCTCGGGTTAAGAACTTTGCTTCAGTTCTGGCGGAAATGACTGGCAGAATCCAAGACCAGGGAGAAGAGTCGGTGGAAGAAGATTGGAAAAAATTTAAAGTATATTTACAGAAACATTGTAAAATTAATGAGTGTTAGAAGGATGCTGGAATGAAGCTATATGGTTTTAGTAGAAATGTAACAAAGAATTAAGTAAAAGCTGATTGATAACGGGCCAAAATGAAAAAAAATTAAGGTTAGACTGTTAAGATAAATTATAGAACAAAAATTGAGAAAGATGGAAAGAATTTTCTGAAATAGTGAATTGAACTAGAATACAAAAAAGGGGAGGTGTGAGGAGGCCGATGAAACAAGTAAAGGAAAAGTAAAGATATGGAATATTGGATGTGTGTTTTAGTGTGTTTTTGTTGTTGTTGTTTTTTATTATATTGTTGTATTGCTTTTCTATGTTTTTTCTTCTTTTTTATTGTTGTCTTTTTTTCTTTTTTCTGTAATCTTTAAACTTTTAATAAATATCATTAAAAAAAAAGAAGAACTTTGCTTCAGGATGAGAACAGAAATCGCGCAGCAGTGGCGCGGCAGCATCAGGAGGCCCCATTAGCTAAAGTTGTGCTTCAGGTTAAGAACAGTTTCAGGTTAAGTACGGACCTCCGGAACAAATTAAGTTCTTAACCCAAGGAACCACTGTAGTAAAATTATCATTGTGGAATGAGACTTCCCTATTTTCATTGGAGAAATGTTGGAGGGTCCTCTTACAGGCTCTTTCTGTGGGCTCTCCTGACTGCACCCCAACTCTGAGCCAACGTCAGCAGAGGCAGGGGGCATGCAAGGGGGGGGAAGAAGATGAGGAGAGCCCCATCGCCATTGTGCAGGGCTTCCACTAATGGAATTCATCCAGGGAACCCCACCCCCCTGTCCCTACATTTGCCTTTGGGAGGTATATTTTAAAAGGCACAGGGGGCAAGATTCATCTAGCAAACCCTGTCAGCAAAGGGGCTTCTCCCCCTCCTCCAGCTGCACCCCTGAAATCAGCTCAGGGAGTCAGGAAAACTGCGAGAGGAAGGGCAATCGTTCCATCTGGCAAGCTTGTGTCCTTGCACAGGCGGAATATTGAAG